AGACCTCTCGATTTCACTTCTATACCAAGAAGACCTCTCGAGCTCTCTTCTATACGAAGAAGACCTCTCTAGCTCTCTTCTATATGAACAAGGCCTTTCGAGCTCTCTTCTATATGAGGAATACCTCTTGAGCTCACTTCTATACGAAGAAGACCTCTCGAGCTCTCTTCTATACAAAGAAGACCTCTCGAGCTCACTTCGAAGAATAACTCTTCAGCTCTCTTTTATACGAAGAAGACCTCCCGAGCTCTCTTCTAGGCGAAGAAGGCCTCTCGAGTACTCTTCTATACGAAGAAGACCTCCCGAGCTCTCTTCTAGGCGAAGAAGGCCTCTCGAGTACTCTTCTATACGAAGAAGACCTCTCGAGCTCTCTTCTATACGAAGAAGACCTCTCGAGCTCTCCTCTATACGAAGAAGACCTCTCGAGCTCTCTTCTATACGAAGAAGACCTCTCGAGCTCTCTTCTATACGAAGAAGACCTCTCGAGCTCTCTTCTATACGAAGAAGACCTCTCGAGCTCTCTTCTATACGAAGAAGACCTCTAGAGCTCTCTTCTATACGAAGAAGACCTCTAGAGCTCTCTTCTATACGAAGAAGACCTCTAGAGCTCTCTTCTATACGAAGAAGACCTCTAGAGCTCTCTTCTATACGAAGAAGATCGCTGGAGCTCTCTTCCATACAAAGAAGACCTCTCGAGCTCATCTTCTATACGAAGAAGACTTCCCGAGTTCTGTTCTATACGAAGAAGACCTCTCGAGCTTTCTTCTATACGAAGAAGATCTCTCGAGCTCTCTTCTATACGAAGAAGACCTCTCGAGCTGTCTTCTATACGAAGAAGACCTCTCGAGTTCACTTCTATACAAAGAAGACCTCTCGAGTTCACTTCTATACGAAGAAGACCTCTCGAGTTCACTTCTATACGAAGAAGACCTCTCGAGCTCTCTTCTATACAAAGAAGACCTCTCGAGCTGTCTTCTATACAAAGAAGACCTCTCGAGCTCTCTTCTATACGAAACAGACCTCTCGAGCTCATCCTCTATACGAAGAAGCTCTCTTATATACGCAGAAGATCGCTGGAGCTCTCTTCCATACAAAGAAGACCTCTCGAGCTGTATTCCATACGAAGAAGACCTTTCGAACTCCCTTTTATACGAAGAACACCTCTCAAGCTTTCTTCTATAGAAGAAGACTTCTCAAAGAACACCTCTCATTTAGCTCTTCAATGAGAGCACTCTTTAGCTAGTCCATAAAAAGACCCTTCCATCTCCTCCACGTTAACCTTTTAAGCCCTTCGCTTCAAAATACCAATATATATTCCCCCGCCTAACCCTTCGATGACATCTACCAAAACAATATAACTCATTAGATAATTCCAATAATAAGTCTCAAGTGACCCCCATATTTTGTTGGAAACAAAATAACAGAACATTGCTAAAATAGAAACGCTTATCTCTGGTTCAACAATACAAATAGTACCAATATCTTATCGCCAAAGGCTGTGTCCCCTCCTCCTCTCGCTCTCACTCTCTCGCTATAGCTGTTTGCCAGACATTTCGCTTTTGTCGATGATAGCTAATTCGTACAACCAGTTGGAGATCTCTTCGCTTGTCGGTCGACAAATCATGGGCAGAGCCATGAAATCTGCAACCATTTCAGATACTCATTCGCCGGAATGCTAAATGACAGAGCGTGGAAAATCCAAAGAGAAAGGCCCTCGTAACCAACCATTGTTTGTTTATTTGTTTGGATTTCTAATAATCACTATCACCAACTACCACCATCATCATCATCATCCTCATCCTCAAGATTATCCCTGCTACTGTTTCCAGCTCTTCTGTGTGCTGTTGTTGCACCACACTCGGCTTATCTCCCTGAGGAACTCCATAAACAATCATTGAAATACCCTTTTCAAAGACCATATGGATCTGAATGGAGTGGCTTGGATATGAATGATGTGCCCCATGATGGTGGTGGACGAATGAGCCGGCCGAACGTAAAAGGCTATTCCCTACTTTAAGTAATCGCAACAATAACAAAAATAAACACAAGAGACGGCTTCTTATCACTCAGCCACTTACTCATTTATTCATTCTATTTGTTGTTGAGAGGTTTGGGAAGTGCCTCTTGAGAAGAGAACATAACAAACAAATAAATATTGACTCTTAATATTGATAATGGCAACAAATGGAAAAGAGAAAAAGAGAGAAATGGGAGAAGTTTTCTCATAGAAGCAAAAGGAAAGTATTTTAGAAGATATTTTGCAAAGTAAAGCTGAAAATCTCAATGAAAACCTAAAAAGAAGAAAAATCTCTTACAAAAGGGCTTAAAGATCTTTTCACCGAATCGTATGAGCTCTTCGTAAAGAAAAGCTGAAGGCAACTTCGTATAGAAAGTCTTTCACATAGAATAGCTGAAGAGGTCTACATCTGCATAGAAGAGCTGAAGAGGTCTTCTCCATAGAAGAGCCAGATATGTATTTTCTACAAAGAAGAGGTTGAAGATGTCGTCTACACTTAAGAGATGAAGAGGTCTTCTTCTAAATAGAAGAGCTCAAGAGGTCTACTTCTCCATTGAAGAGCTCAAGAGGTCTTTTTTCTCCATAGAAGAGCTGGAGATGTCTTCTTCCATATAGCAGAACTCAAGAGGTCTTCTTCGACATAGAAGAACTCAAGAAGTCTTATTCTACATAGCAGAGATGAAGAGGTCTTCCTCATTGAAGAACTGAAACGGTTTTCTCTTTTGAAGAGCTGATGAGGACTTCTTCATTGAAAAGAGAGGTCTTCGCCTTCTTCTTTAGAGAGCAGAGTTCAATAGAAGAGAGCTAGAGAGGTCTTCTTCGTGTAGAAGACAGCTCGAGAGATCTTCTTCGTATAGAGGAGAGCTCGAGAGGTCTTCTTCGTATAGATGACAACTCGAGAGGTATTCTTTGTATAGAAGGGAGCTCGAGAGGTCTTCTTCGTGTATAAGACATCTCCAGAGGTCTTCTTCATACAGAAGACAGCTCCAGAGGTTTTCATAGTATAGAAGACAGCTCAAGAGCTCTAGAGGTCTTCTTATTCGTAGGCTCAGAATTTCAGGAAGTCTTTTTCATAGAAGAGAGATTTAGGGGGTCTTCTTCATTGGAGAGAACTTCATGAGGTTTCCTTCATGGAGGAGAGTTCCATTAAGTTCCCTTCACAGAAGAGAGCTTCAGGAGCTCCTCTTCATATAAAAGAGCTTCGGGGGGGCCTTATTCATAGAAGAAAGCTTCAGGAGGTCTGCTTCATTGAGGAGAGCTCCAGTAAGTTCCCTTCGCCGAAAAGAGCTTCAGGAGCTCTTCCTCATAGAAGAAAGCGTCGACAGAAAAGGGTTTTGGGAGGTCTTCTTCATAGAAGAGGTATTTTTCATGGAAGAGGTCTTCTTCATAGAAGAGGTCTTCTTCATAGACTATGTCTTTTTCATAGAAGAGGTCTTCTTCATAGAAGAGGTCTTTTTTATAGAAGAGGTCTTCTTTATTGAAGAGGTCTTCTTCGTAGAAGAGGTCTTCTTCATAGAAGAGGTCTTCTTCATAGAAGAGGTCTTCTTCATAGAAGAGGTCTTCTTCATAGAAGAGGTCTTCTTCATAGAAGAGGTCTTCTTCATAGAAGAGGTCTTCTTCATAGAAGAGGTCTTCTTCATAGAAGAGGTCTTCTTCATAGAAGAGGTCTTCTTCATAGAAGAGGTCTTCTTCATAGAAGAGGCCTTCTTCATAGAAGAGGTCTTTTTCATAGAAGAGGTCTTCTTCATAGAAGAGGTCTTCTTCATAGAAGAGGTCTTCTTCATAGAAGAGGTCTTCTTCATAGAAGAGGTCTTCTTCATAGAAGAGGTTTTCCTCATAGAAAAGGTCTTCTTCTTCATAGAGGAGAGCCTCAGGAGCTCTTCTCCATAGAATCTCCATATAAGAGATCTTAAAGAGATCTTCTTCATAGAAGAGGGCTGAAAACGGTCTCCTTCATAGAAAACGCCTTCAGGAGCTCTTCCTCATAGAAAGAGCTTTAGGTGTTCTTCGTCATAGAATATCTTGAGGAGCGATTCTTCCTAGAAAAAGCGTCAGAACCATTTCTTCATAAAATAAAGCTTCGACAAAAAAGAGCTTCAGGGGTTCTTTATAGAAGACAGCTTCACGAATTAATCTCCAGAGAAGATATTTAGGAGCTCCTATGACGTCTTCCTCATAAAAGAGAGTTGAGGTCCATAGAAGAGAGCTACAGATGTGTTTTTCATGGAAGAGAGCCCAAATCTGTCTTCTTCACGAAAGAACTGGGTGGTCGTCGCATGGAAGAGTTGTCTGGTGGTCCTATAAAAGAGCTGACTGCTCTTGACATAGAAGAGCTCCTAAAGCTCTCCCCTATGAAAAAGAGCAGAGAGGTCTTAATATTGCTGGATTGTCTTCTTCTTAAAAGCTTTATATAAGACATTGATGGGGCTTCTTACGGTAGATCTCGACTTTATTTGGGCGCCAGTGTAGGTTCTGACGACTTGGAAATGTTTTCACTTGGGAAATCCCCTCAGGAAGTCTCTGTTAGTCTTTTCATAGAAAACTTGTAGGTTTCCTATAGAGGACTTTGTGTTCTTCTGGAAGACTTCTTTTGATATTATTTTGCATTCTTTTAAAAGATGACACTTGGTTTTCTTATAAAAGACTTTGGCTACAAGAATATATCTATGGTCCTCTTGTTATAGGGGTGCTTGGTGGTCTTTATGAGCATATTCAGTCATTGCCTTCATATAGGCAATCTCATTGTATCTTCTGTTGTAGTATTTTTGTAAAAGGCCGTTTTTACATTACTCTCTTGTGTTCATTTCAAAAAAGAGTAAATTTCTTTTAAAGAGAACAATGCAAAGAGCACCCCATCCCCACTTATTGGTGAGCACAGTATCTGAGTATCTGAAAAATACACGACACCAACAACAACAACGAGAAAACCACCAAGCAACAGCTACAAGTGAATGACCATATCCACTGCTGGCTCACCGTTTGTCACACTCACAGCGTATCTGGAGAGTTGTTAAGTGACTGTCTAAGCGATCGGTACGTTAGCGCGCTTGATCCAAATAGCGGGTGGCAAATAAAATAGTTTCAAAATAAAGAAAGAAAATAATAAAAACGAATTCGAAACGGCAAGAAAAACATAAAAATTCGGTCAAAAGGAAAAAAACAACAAATTTTTTGCAAAACAAAATTAAAACACGTCAAAAATTTGTAACGTCAAACAGCCAAGAAAAAATCAAATATTGTTTTTTTGCAAACAAAAAAAAAGAAATAAAATCGAAAAACACGTTTTATCTCGAGAGTGGAAAATTGTGAATTTTGCAAAAAAAATTGAATTTTGTGTTGAGTGGCCCAAAGAATAACGTAATAAATGTATGTTTATTTTATTTGTTTTTGTTATTGTTGTATATTTTTTCTTTTCGTAAAAAATTTGTTAACTAAACAATCAATATTTTACCTGAGAAACCGAAGAGCTACAATAGCCCCGTAATTATATAAAAAATAATAATAATTTATTCCAATGTTTGTTTCTCTGAGTTCGGGTGTGAGTTCGAGTGAATGTTTTTTTTTTTCGAAAAAAAAAGCAAAATTTTTTGATATTTATTTTATTGAGTGCAAAAATTAATTATTTTATGGTTTGTATGTCTGTTTGGCCGTTTGTGTGTTCAGTAATAAATATATCTACATGTATATACGCTCCTCTGTTCGGCTCGGCCCGTCCGTCCTCTTCTTCTCCGGCAATATTCATAATCAGAAGTTACAGAAAGCAGAAGCCACAGCAGCAGTAATTTGAAATTAATAAATTACAGTCAAACACTGTTACAATGGAGAGATATTAGAGAGAGAGAGAAAGGGAGAGAGAGAGAGAGAGTAAGAATAAGACTTCATACAGACGAGTTGGATGATCTTCGCAAAGGGAGAGGCAGAAATTCTATCCATAAAAGAGCTGAGCTCTTCTTTTCCTTGATATAGAAAGGGTTTCCTATAGGAGAGCTGATTCCGGTAAGGGTTCAACAGCGACTTTCAGAATGCCTCACGAAAGGTGCCACAGTTCGGCTGGCTCTACGTAAAATTGTTAACACGATTTCATTAGCTCTGAATCATTTCCTTTCGCTGAGAATGGAAAATTTAATTGGACATATTTCGGAACTTCGATGAGAGAAGTGGAGAACTCCAAAATCTATGTCTGCTGAAAAACGTTTCTTTTCTCTCTTCACGGAATAAGGCAATGACCAGAGAAAAGGGATTCACAGTTTAAGGATGTGCTATTGACAGAGAACCCTTCGGCAAGGGTTCAAGAGCGACTTTCAGAATGCTTCACGCAGGGTGCCCCAGTTCGGCTGGCTTTGTGTAAAATTGTGCTCCTCTTCATAGAAGAAAACTAAATAGAAGGGAGCTAAAGATGCTCTTCCTCATAAAAGAGAGCCGAAGGAGCTCTTCTTCATAGAAGACAGCTAAAGCAGGTCTTCTTCAAAAAAGAGCTCTTATGCATAGAAGACAGCTAAAGAAGATCTTCTTTGTAAAAGAGAGCTTCAGAAAATCTTCTTCATAGAAGAAAACTAAAAGAGCTCCTCTTCATAGAAGAGAACTAAGGGAGCACTTCCTCATAGAAGAGAGCTAAGGGAGCTCTACTTCATAGAAGATAGCTAAGGGAGCTCTTCTTCACAGAGGAGAGCTAAGGGAGCTATTATTCATGGAAGAGAGCTTCAGAAGCTCTTGTTCACAGTGGAGAGCTAAATTACCTCTGGAGCAGCGGTGCTCAAAACCGTGTTCTAGAACATGAAGAGAAAAAAAGAGATAATTTAAGAGAAAATTAAAATTATATTTTTCTTTATATTTTACGGTTCTATTTAATTGTTTTTAAACACGAATGTTTGCCAAAATAATTTATAAAGCAAATGGATAAAAAATATTTATGTAAATAATGACTTAACACTGTTTTGTTCTTGATTTAAATAAGCAAAGAGAAATTTAACTGAAAAGAGATATTTCTTCTTGAGCACCGCTGCTCTGGAGACCCTTTTAGATACATGCGCACGGTAACTCTTGAAGGGAGTATCCGATTTGATCCAAACTTGGTACATAGAAAGAGACAGGATAATCCGATTTTGCTTCAACTTTGCATCAGTACTAGGCTAGGTGTGGAAATGGACAATATCAGTTCACTCCTTCAAGTACCTCCCCCACAAAGGGTCAAAATTTTAAATAATTATAACTCTTATAAAATGTGATGTAGGAGTCCGATTGCCTTCAAATTAGACACATGACAATATTTTTATTAACCCAAGAAGATGGAACATATCGGTCCACTCCTTCTGGTACCTCCCCCACAACGAGTCAACATTTTGAATATCCATGAAGCCCATAAAACGCGAAATTAACATCCGATTCCATTCAGAATTGGGGCATCTCGATATTTCCACCAACACAAGATCTGTTTTAACGATGGTAGAGATCGGGCCATTCCTTCTGGTACCTCCCCCACAAAGGGTCACATTTTTGAATAACGAAAAAGATCATAAAATACAAAATAAGCATCAGGTTCCCTTAAAATTACACACATCACAATGTTTTACTTAAGCCAAGGTCTGATGTAAAATTGGGATACATCAGTCTACTCCTTCTGGTACCTCCCCCACAAAGGGTCAACATTTTGAATATCCATGAGGCCCATAAAACGCGAAATTAACATCCGCACCCATTCAGACTTGGCACATCTTGATATTTCCATCAACATAAGATCTGTTATAAAGATGGTACAGATCGGACCATTTCTCCTGGTACCTCCCCCACATAGAGTTCAAGTTGTTGAATGTTGAAAAAAAAAGAAATCGGAATAAGCATCAAATTCTCTTCAAATTTCACACAATCATATATTTTTGCTAACGCAAGATCTGTTGTGAAGATGATATATATCTGTCAAACCTTTCTGGTACCTTACCCACAAAGAGTCACAATTTTCAAAACTTTTATCTGTCATAACTGCGAAACAAATCGGCGATTCTTTACAACTTGCTATTTGTAAATATTTCCCTTAACCATAAATCTGATGTGAATATGGAATTTATCGGAATTTATGACTTCGCATACCAATATATTTATCTGTATTAAATGAATTATGAAAATGGAATACTACCGTCCGCTATATCTGTTAACTCACGAATATTTCCACATATAAATTATTCCACATGTAAAGTATGAGAAATAGCTGATATAGTCAAAATCTGGAACGTTGTAATATTTTTATCAGTCTTAAGCCAAATACGAATTGGTCAATATTGGCCAACAGCTCCGTAACCTCTACCATAAAGGGTCATCAGTTTGAATAACCATCACTCAAGGCTGGGGGCAAAAATCTGCGGACAAATCCGACTGATACCATTTTACTTGTTTTATTCTCCCCCCTGGTCAATATTAACCCCGTTCCACTGTATTAACCATGTTTTGTTTTTAATCGGAAAATGTGCGAGTGTATGTGTGTGTTCACTGGCTGGCCTTTTTCGTTTCGGTTTCCGATAAATTTACGAATCCAATGAATACATCATCAGGCTGCAGTATCTAGAAATGTTTCATTCGTAAAACAGTAATCCAGAGATATCAACGCGGGGAGAGTGTCGAAGAGAAAAGCAGAGCGCCAAGTGAGTGAGTGTGACTAGTTGGGATGACCTTGTGTTTTGTTGTTGTTATTGTTGTGTTTTGTGTGTTTGTTTAGTTTAGTTTTTGGTTAACTGAAAGTTTTGGGTCGGTTGGTTGGCTGGATCGATTGTGAGTTTTTGTTGGTTGGTTTCTTCCAAATATTAAAATTCCAATTAGTTGTTTACCTTTAATGTTGTTTCATAACAATAATGAGAAAAAAAACAACAACACCGCCACCTGACTAACCAAACACTAATCAGGTGAAAAATACCAGTAATAACCTTTCGAAATTAATAAAACACTATCTTTGCTCTCATGCACTCACTCACTCTCCTTTCTCCCGGCCTAAAATAAAAAAAAACGTTGACAACAAAACAAATGATTCTCACCACCATTGGGTGGGGGAGTTGCTCTCCCGCTCTTTCTCTCTGTTACCATACAGTGTATGGTACACATAACTGCAGTTACCATTTGTGAGTTATTTGTTGTGTGGCTCTCTGAGTTAAAACCGCCGTTAACTCTTCTCCTGATGTGATCCATTATTGAATTTAAACTCCCCATTTGATTGGGAACAGCCAACTGCATTAAAACATGTTTTAATTTGGATTTTTTTTTTGCTTAATTGTTGCACTGTTTATTTATTCATTTCGATTGGTGAAATTTACAAAAACACAACCACTAAAACTTGTTTTTCAATCGTTAATAAAACCAACGGAAAAAATGTTAATAAAAGCAATTGTAAATCTATTTAACATGTTTAAATTGCAACATCAACATTTAACAACAACAACAACAAAAAACAGCAACAGCAAAATGTTATTCACCGGAAAGTCAGTTTAGTGCTGGCTTGGACAAATGATTGTAAGCCATATTTAGACACCGCACAGTGGGGCGAAGGGAGAATAATTTTAAAGAGTTTTGTGTGAAATAGAAAAAAATGATTTTGAAAATTACTACACGACAAGGTTTTTAGTTCCTGGAGAATGTAGTCCAAAGGGATTCCAATGGATAATCTTCACTAAGAAAATCATAGAAAATTAAATCATTTTTTTGAAGAAAATTAAAAACAAAAATTAGATGAGAGTTTAAATTTAAGAGAGTCTGATGCTTATTTCGATTTCGTTGAGCGTTTTGTTTATAAAAATCTTGATACCTATGTATGGAAGATACCAGAAGGAATTATTCGATCTCTACCATCTTTATAACAGATCTTGTGATGATGGAAGTATTGAGATGCACCCAATCTGAAAGGAATCGGATGTTAACTTCGTGTTTTATTAGCATTTTAAATATGCAAAATTTTATGGGGGAGCTGCCAGAAGGAGTGGATCGATATATCCCATCTTCACAGCAGATCTTTTACTAGTAGAAATAATTTCAGAATTTGTGATCCATTCGGTTATTTAAAATTTTGAACCTTTGTGGGGGGGGTACCAGAAGGAATGGTTCGATCTCTACCATCTTTATAACAGATCTTGTGTTGATGGAAATATTGAGATGTACCAAGTCTGAATGGAATCGAATTTTAATTTCGCGTTTTATTAGCTTCATGGATACTCGAAATTTTTACCCTTTGTAGGGGGAGGTACCAGAAGGAGTGGACCGATACAATCCATCTTTACAACAGATCTTGTGTTAGTAACAATAACGGGATGTGTAAAATATGAAGAGATCCGGATGCTTATTTCGGAATTTGTCATCGTTTTGGTTATTCAAAACTATGACCCTTTGTGGGG